CTGTGTCTAGGCTGCGTTCATCGAGGATGCGTGCTTCGTTGTAGTACTGGATGAAGATACCACCGGATGGTAGCACGACAAGGAACGGGTACAGATTGTACGGGTCGGTGTCTCTCAGGTACTGCGCTTCGTACACAGGACCGACGGTGGGCAAGATCTCCATGTTTGGCACTGGCGGGCCGTTCGAGCCATCTTGTCCGCCGACGATGAGCATTGATCCGTTAGCCATGACCATTCCTGTTGGGTACCAGCGACCTCTTTGGAGCTTGACAGTGTTAACATCCTCCTGCCAGTTGTTGGTACCGTTGACACCAGCCGAACCGTCTGGCCAGTAAATGCGGACGCCGAACAGGGAATCTGTCGACCATCCGCCAATGTTGATCTGTCGCCCGGCACGATCCGGTAGAGTTAGGCCTGCAGCACAGAAGATGTCCGTCTTGATGCCGGTCAGCTCACGGAAGGCGTGAAAGATGTCGCCACCAATCGAAGGATCGAACTCGTATGCACCAGTGGTGTTTGGCTCGCCTGTTCCATGCTTCTCGAGGAAAGAGACCTTGCCGTTGACACCAGGCTGCGCGATCAGAGGAATGATGGGTCCGCCGACCAAGAACTCGTATCGTCCCGCTGCGGTGCCTTTAGGGTACTCCCAGACGTACAATGGGTCACCCTCCCACTTGTACCAGCTGAGTCGGTTGCCTGCGCCACAGAGCGCTTCAGGGTCACCTGGGCAAGCAATGCTGCATTCAGACTCTGGGGCGGGCTTCGAGCCAATCTTCTCGATACCATCGAGGTCACCGCAGTAGCACTCTTCTCCGTACTCCATTCCGGCGGCCATGTAACCAAAGGCTTGGCATCGACTCAGACACCATTCCGGTGAGTTACCAGTCTGGTTCAACAGCTTGTGAGGGAATACTTGGTTGCCGATGTCGGTGATGCATCCTTGGTATTGCCAGTCGCTCACGTTCTGGGTGGGTGTTGGGACTTTGACGACCTTTAATGGATCTTGGCTTGAGTAGATGCTCATCCGGTTAGGACCTCCGCACGTCTCGGCTTGATTACCAGCACACTTTGTGTTGCACTCCGACTCGGAAGAAGCAGGCTTGCCGCCCATTCTCACCTACATGAGTTAGTACTAGAAGACATTGGAGATTTGGGATATACTAACGGCATTGTCACAAAAGCATTGGTAACTGTACTCCATGGCTGCAATCTCATAGCCAGCTTTCGCGCATTGGCTAGCGCATGATGCGACAGTCATCTTCTGATCATCGGGTTGTTGGTAGTTGACGATGCGGAATCCGGGTCCATCGACATAGCAGCCTTTGTACTCGAAGCCTTCCGGGAGCCCAGTAGCAATGGGCGCTGCGCTGGATGCTCCAGTAGCAGATGCTGTTGCAGAAGCGGTAGGCGTAGCAGTGGCCGAGGTGGATGATTCACCACCTGTGTAGAAACGGAAGAATGTCAAGCGATCGGGACCGCCGCACATCTCTGTCTGGTTGCCATTGCATGCCATGTTGCACCCCTTCTCGCCGTCAGGCGCAGGACCGCCATTGGCTCGAATCTGGTTGTCACAGAAACACTCGCCGGCATACTCAGTACCAGCCAGGACGAAGCCTCCAGCTCGGCATGCAGCCTTGCACTTGTCGTTGGTCATACCACCAGTCACTCCCATTCCCACGGAGAGCGACCGGCCACCGACGTTATCCGTGTAACATCCTTCCGAATACCATCCTCTCTTCGGTTCCGGAGTTGTGGTATTGCTAGGGAGTTCGGGCGCCGCTGAACTCTGCGCGCTAGCGGAGCAAACCAGGGACAGTACCAGGAGATGCAGGCTAAATGGCAGCCGCCGCAGGGCATAAAGTTGCGCCATGTGTGGCGCAATGGGAAAGTGTCTAACGAGCGACAAAAGTATATTGAATCGACAAAGTTCCGAGAGTGCAAGAAGGAGCACCGGCTGTTTAACAACACCCTGGGTATCGTATTCGCATCCCAGGCAAGACCATGTATATAAGCGTCTAGTATTCCTAACACCTCGACCGCCTCCCAGCCCATGCCCTAACCGCGCCTGATCACACCGACGCCCACATCGCAGCCGCATTGTCTTCCAAGTCCGGTAGGTACATTGGCGAACAGCCGGGGCTGCATGCGTACGGCGCCTCTTTGTCTGCACGTGTCAGCACGCGAGCTGCAACATTTCAATAGTCGACATGTAGACATTGCGGCTGACAGGCAAGAAAAAAAAACAGGTCCAACATACGGCACCGCTATCAAGTTAGTCCTCGCTTAGGCAGGTGTCCCGCTGCTTGGTATTACCGGATAAGTAAAGGCTCTTATCACGACCCAATCAGCACACGCATTACACACGCAGCGTTAATCTATTTCCTTAGCAATTCCTTTGGCTAAGTCTTAGCCAGAAGCTGGCAGTTGTAATCTATGGTCGCGGTATTTGGCTTGTGGCGTTCTAGCAATCTACTCCCGCTGCTGTTGTTAGGAAGTCTTGCTAAGTAATCTCTGTAGTAATCTTCCTAGCAGAACTAGCCTGCGTAGCCTGCTAGAATCTATTTCTAGCAGGATCTAGCGCTGGATTTTAAGTAGCTTATACTAGGTGCGCCTACACTAGTACGCATAGCGGCCGCGGTGTCGCTTAAGAGTGCACTAAGGGGGTGCTTGTGCGAGAGCGGCGGGGTTCTAGGTAGCGCGCTTGTAGGCGCGGTATGCATTGTCCTACTCTTATATTAGCTTAGTCTAATGTAGAGGGGGAAGATAGCTTACCTAAATATAGCGGGAAGCTATTAGGTTTAGCATTGTCAACATAGGATAGGTGAATTTTGGTGTAGAGGAGGATGCGAGACGCTGAATTTTGCCGAAAATTTATGCTCCTAGGCTATTGTAGGCAGCGGCTAGGTTAGGTGACCTATCTAATAGGCGTTGAGATTATTCGGTCGAGTACTGTGGGAAGTAGAGCTAGCTTCTGGCAATTCTCCTATTGAATTTCGTTTAAATCGGGCGCCATGCTGCCTGGCGGCCTTGCGAACTAGTCTGTGCGAGAAAACGAGGAAAGGAGGGTCTAACAGCCATGTCGCCCGTTGCAACATGGCCCGTCGTTGGCCGACCGTGTCGCTGGGCGAAGAGCACATGGCGCGCCTAAACCAGCGGGACGATACGGAGAGAGGTCCGTAGCCCTACACACCCCCCGATCCTAGCCTCACGATGCAGCGATGTGCGATACGAGCCCGGGAATGAAGTGCGCGCTAAGAATAGTGCTCCGTACATGACACCAGGCTGCTTTGCCGCTCTTATGCCGCGCCTACACTACAACACCGTATCAGTATTATTGTGTTCTGGTCTAGCTGCAGCAACCTCGCACAATGGTCTTGTTACATCGTCGACATTGTTATACGTGGTCTTGTACCCTGGAAGAACGTATTTGCGACCAATGCGACAGTATTGCTCGTCCAAGCTACTGGTACTCTCTTTAGTCTGCGCAATGCCACAAGAACTGCCAAGCTCAATCACACGATATCCGCCCCCAAGCTTCCCGTTAGTAAGATGAAGCAACTCCAAAGTGGGCGCCCCATGGCTGATCGACCCCGGGCCGTGTGGGGAACCCAAAGAAAATCCTGCGAACAAGATATGCTGCCGTCGCCCGAGCCTAGCCATATTCTCACATTGTTAGTTCAGGTATCTACACCGGCGTGGTGTGGGTTCGACGGCAGTCTGGCCCAAGTGTCAAGTGGAGACTGGGTGAAGGGTGAAGTGGAGATTTCGAACAACGACAACCTTGGAAGTGAGGTGTGCACTTGCTACTTCCTGTCGCCCTGCAAGCCACCATGTACCTAGTTGTCAGCCTTGTGGTGGGATGCGTGGCATGTGATGGGCAGGAGCTGAGTCATGCGCGCGTGTATGTCACTTATAAGCCGGTATTGGCATGAGTGGGGTGTTGCTTCTATCGCGACCTAAGCTGCGAAGAGGAGGTGGGATGCATGTAAGATGCCCACTTCGGTGTATTGGCATTCCGTATCTGCAGACATGTAGTCGGAGCGGGATGAAGCGATAGTTTGTGGTAGGGCCGAAGCAGGAAAGCTTACATAGTCAGGGAATGAGGTCTACTTGGGCTGGAAGGAACGCATTAGTGGTTGACGCAGTTCTTAGTATCTCCGACAATCCTGATTCGAATGTTGCGGGAGCTTTGCGTCCATTTCAGCCCGAGCTGACCTCAATACTTGAGTTGGCTGACTGCAGAGAATCAATACATGTGCGGCTGTACCCTTGGCATATATTGGAGTACGTAGATCTGTATTAGGAAACTTGCAAGTCTGAGGGTGTAGACAGGACTGATGGGCTGTTGCATCGACAGCTGAAGCAACTGGAAGTTCGTGCGAGCTTGCCTTGCCATAGCTCGTTATTGGTATCTTGGTGGTGACGAGATATTGGCTGACTTCTACGGCGCCATCGTAGTGTATTGAATACCCACCTCAGGTGGACTTCGCTGGCAAGCCGAGGGTAGTGGATTCGCGAACTTCATCCTTCGCCACGAAATACATTCTCCTCGCCGACCTTGACTTTCGGTTACTGCAGCCGAATATGTTGTAGCGCATTGGTGTGACGATGTAGCTCTAGCTGAGGGCTGTGCAAGAGATGAGGGGCAGATGCGAAAGATAGACTAGAGCGGCCCGTGTAAGAGTCTACTAGACTGGATGTACTACGACTAGGCGTGGAAGTCAGCTGCCGTGAATTGATCTCCAGTCGGAGATGTCGTCTAAGTTGCAAGCCACTTGCTAGCAGTCTCAGAGATAGAAGGCGCATCTTGAACGATGCCGTCAAGCGTAGCCACTTCGCATGCTGCGTGGCGACTAGTCCCGATGCGGTTAGTGACCGCGGGGTAGATGCTCAGGTCCGCAGCTCAGGGTCCTTCAGCTGCCCAGCCTTGGAGCAGATCATCTTGCACGACTGAAGCCAAGAGAGAGCGCCCAGATCGCGCTCAATTAGCTGTAGATCCCATGGCTTCGCTACCGCCTGTACGCGCCTGCATCTTCGATGTAGACGGCACGCTCATCAACTCAGAAGACATCTACACAGAGATCTACAACAACATACTGCGCGAGTATGGAAGACCAGATTACCCATGGGCAATCAAGGCGACGCAGCAAAGTAGAGGCACAAAGGTCTGTGTTACTCAGCCCTATCATTTTGTCCCGTCGTGCTAACGCTTAGTATAGGGTACCAGGCGCTTACTGGACTGGGCACAGGTACCCCTCACGCCAGCTGAATGGTCTGCGAAGGAAAAAGGGTTTACACATCTCTTCGAAAACAGTAAGGTGCTTCCCGGTGTTGAAACTCTTCTCTCAACCCTCAAAGCAAAGACATCGCCGCCTGTGCTGCTTTCGTTAGCTAGTTCAGCTGGACAACAGAAGTTCGCACTAAAAACGTCGCACATACCCGCTATCAATGCGGCGTTTGATGATCCAGCCTTCCACGTCTTCGGCGATGATCCGGAGATGTCTGATAGCAAGAAGAAGCCAGAGCCTGATATCTTTCTGCTCGCTTTGAAGAGGTTGAACGCTACTGAGACAGCACGTGGTGAGCGCACATTGGAGCCTGCAGAGTGCTTGGTGTTCGAAGACTCAATTGCCGGTGTCGAGGCTGCCAGAAGAGCGGGTATGCGGGTCGTTTGGGTGCCACATCCAGGACTTGCGGAGGTTTGCAAAGGGCGGGAGATAGATGTTCTTATGGGAAGGACAGAGGAAGATGGTACTGTGCCTGAGTATGGAACGCCAGTAGACGGAGATGCGAAGGGTCCTTTAGTCACGGAAGACGGTCGGTTGTTGTCGGATGATAGGATGGCGGAGCTGAGGTACAGTCTAGAGGAGTTTCCGTACGCTGTGTATGGTATCAATATCGCGAAATAGGTGGTGAATGGTGACACATGGGTGTGTGTTCGTATGTCGTAGGACACGATCATCCCGAGGTCGTAATCCATCCTGGAACAGACGCAGTAGTAGCGTTGTATCCGGTTCTACTTGACGCTCGCATGAGCCTCACTAAGATGCAAGTCTCGACTCCTTCTGCGTGATGTTTGACGCACGTTCCCTGCGAATACCACGCGTGAGATAGACTCCTGTGTACCATTCATGATGAGGACGCGCTCTCTAGACGAGCCGAAATGAGTCCATTGACCTTGAATACCCACACGACATGAAATCCGTCACAGTGCACAGTGAGCGATACACAAGAATGAAGGATGAAGAATGAGTATGATTCGGTCGCTGTTCAAAGGGGCTGCGAAGGAGCGAAGGGGTTGCTTAGTCAGCAAAAAGCTGGTAGCGCCGCCTGATGACGCGTTGACAGCCGAAAACGCGCCCGCGTGGCTGCCATCTGCCATCACCAAACCTCATCAACACACATACGCGCTTTCATCCTATGTTCATGATTCATTACGATATAGAGCTATCGTGCATCACAGCTTCGCAGGGCAAGGTGTGCACACAGACCGGCACGTGGTGGTGCGGCAAGACATCCATCAGAGTGGCAGCTCTTCTTCCTCTTCTTCTTCTTCCTGCGCACCGGCCTCGGGACCACCGACAACCTCATCAATTCTCGCGCGACCCGACTGCAAGCTCTTGACACCAGCGGCATCTCTCGCGAGTTTATCCATCGCGGTTTTCAACTCAGCTGGGCAGAAAAGCTTGCACAGCGTAGTCATATCGTCGTACACAACCTCGCGTTGCTGGGATCCTGGGATGTAGATCGTGTTGCCGATATTAAATGTTAACGAGTATAGCAGGTTCCGCGCATCCCAATCCTCGACAGGTTCAGATACTGGAAAGTTGCGCTTGTAGGCCCGGATGTATGCCTTACTGCTCAAACGATGACGCGGCGCTCTCCAATTACCAGTGTCGTATTCGTTGTGCCCGTAGAAAGAGCAGACATCGAACACGAACGCTTCGCCCGTTTTAGCGTCCATCGCAGTGTTGCCATCCCAACAATCGCCATGGATGAGACACGGTTTTATCACACGACCTTCTGCTTGGAGCGGCAACAAAAGACGGGGCACAACCTTCTGGAGCGTCAGATCGCATACCACGTCGAACTCAGGCCAATTGAGGATTGGCTTAGCCAGCTCCATGACATGGCCTAGATGTCGGCCATACAGGGTGCACCAAGAGTCTTCCCATGTATCGACGGCCTGAGCGATTCGGGCATGGCATGTCGAGAAATGGAATCCGAATTTGCCAGTCGGTGAAACGGACCGTTGATGCATGTCAGCGAGTCCCGCAGCCAGCTTGACCGGATCTGCGGGCTTTTAAGATTAGCATCTGGGTCTCCGAAACCATACTGAAGCATGCTTACCTGTTCACCAACATCTCGAAAAGCCGCAAGTAGAAAGTACGTCTCGTCTGCCCCTTCGAGCTTGCCCCAGGCGTATGGCTGGGGGACGAACGAGGGCGAGATGGCATAGATGGCTTTGAGCGACTCGTATTCGCCTTCGCACATGTGTCTTCCTATCTCTCCGAGAGTTACAACCTCTGGGGCGTCAGTTCCCGGATTCGTCGTAAGGTTCCACAATCAGCCAAACCTTCAGGAAGTAGTTGTCATTCTCCTCCGTTGGAAGTCGGACCACGAGCTTGGCCGTCTTACCCCACAGCGATTCGCCGTAGTTGTATGCATCTGTTACCTGAGTTCCAGGAATGGGGAATGCTGGCCTAAGGTAAGTGCCGGACATGAATGGCTATTGCGACATTACCTGCGACCACCCGTTCATCAACCTTGTACGAGCCGCTGGCCTGCGGTGGCAGGAATGGTTCGGTTGGCGTCTCTTCCAAGTTCGCTTGAGCCTTGCCTATGGCGATCTTGCCTATGGTGTGGACGTCTTCTGTCGCAGTCGTACCCATGATGTCTTAGCGTCTGGTGTTGATGAGAGAAGGCTTCTAGTGAGCGTAGGGTGAGCCTCTCTCGACAAGCACGGGTCGCCGCGGCGGACGATGTCGTCAGTGGAAGGCGCTGTATTCCTTCGCCGAATAGCCGCTGAACGATGATTGGCCGAAATGTCGCAACCCGCGTGGGCTTATATTGGTGGGCGCAGAAATAGCCAATAGGTGAGCGGATTGCTGGACGACAATACTCGATCACATTCCCAAGAGAAGCATGCATATGCGGCACGGCAGAGAGGCTGACACACGAGCTGATGGTACCCCGCACCACAGAGCCAGCTACCTTCCCGTCCTTGCAACCTTGGGAGGCAGCCCGGAGGCCTGACTAATTAGCCTCTCAAATCGTTTTGACGTACCTCAATTTCACAGCCTTGGATGCGATGGCGAAGTCATTACAACCATCCTTCAAGGCTATCCTCCATGCCGCACATGCCTTCGTGGCTAAGTGACACATGGTAATCTTCGATGGCATCGAGGCCGAGTGTAGTAAGCATATCGGATCTCAGCCTTGTGCATGATAGCTAAATTGACGAAGCTTCACAGGCTCCGATTGCGATCAGAGCCGACACCCGAAAGCGATGACAACGACAACCTAGACGCCGAGTCGACCTTTCACCGGACAGAGCTTCAATCTACCGACAGCGGACAAGATACCTCTATAGCCTCCGCAAGGTTCAAGGCCAGCGTGCCCTATAGAAGCGGTTCGTTGATTTCGACCACAAGTACACTCAATGCAGGCGTCCTCGGCAGACCAATAGCGCAGAGCCAGCGATCCCGCGACGATTTGGGACTACACCTCGTGACCGATCGGTTTGAACCAAGCGGCGATATAGTCTTCGTGCACGGCTTGGGAGGTCACCCGTGGACCACATGGAGCTGGGAGCGCGATCTGAACAACTTCTGGCCTAGCTGGCTTGAACATGAAGGAGCATTGTCAACATGGAGGGTCTTCACGTTTGGTTACGATTCAAATTGGAGAGGAGCAGGAGCTAATCTGAACATCTCCGATTTTGCGAAAGACCTTCTGCTTCAGATTCTGACCTTCACAAGCTCGAATGGGAGTGCTATCAGGCCTAAAAAGATCATCTTTATTGCCCACTCAATGGGTGGCTTGGTGGTCAAGAAGGCATATCTGCTGGGCAAACAGGATTCGCAATTCGCCGACATCGCGGCTTCGTTTCACGGCATCATCTTCCTCGCAACTCCCCACCGCGGGGCGCAGTCGGCCTCCACCTTGAACAATATCCTTGCAAGCCTTCCTCTGGGCCCACCATCGAAAAGCTACGTCGCCGAGCTTCAATTACACAGCAATGCTCTTCACGAGATCAATGAGCAGTTCCGTCACCACTGTCACGATCTTGCCTTGATGTCATACTTCGAAACAGAGAAGACCAGCATTGGCCTCAAAGATGCGATGGTAGTCGCCCTTCCCTCTTCATGCTGTGACCCTGGACTAACGCCCACAGATCGTGGAGAAAGATTCGGCTGTCCTTCAATTACCGGGAGAAATGTCGGGCTCACTACGCGCAAACCACCACACCATATGCAAGTTCAAGAGCCCTACAGACACTCAGTACGTAAGAGTGAGAAACACGATAAGCCATTTTGCTAGAGAGGCTTCACCAGCTGCAGGTATGACTCATTACGTTGCATCTTTGCAAAAACCAGAATTGCTGATGTTTGGACAGCGCCTGCTGTCGATGTCATCGATCGCATCGAAGACAGCCAAAAGATCGCCGCAATCCTGGGTGTCCACGAAGATGCTGAAAACGATCTCAAATCCAGACACGGCAGGATTATGGACGGGACCGGCCAATGGCTCCTACAAAAGTCGGACTTCACACGTTGGAAAAGCTCAGTGGGTGATCGAGCTGCTCCGGTCTTTTGGCTATTCGGACTACCCGCGAGTGGCAAGACGGCTCTTTCCAGTATGGTGGCACATCACTTGAAGGACCAACAGGCGAGCTGTCAGCATCATTTCTTCTCGACAGGACACCAGACAAAACGAACTGCCGCATACTGTCTTCGTAGCATCGCTTCACAGCTTGCCCAAAACAGCCAACCTTTCCGAGAAGCCTTGTTCTCTTTCCATGCTGAGACTGGCATCAAGTTCACTTCGCAAGATCAAAACTTTCGTACGATATGGGAGAAGATCTTCGAAGGCATCATCTTCAAAATTGCATTCACACAGCCACTATTTTGGATAATCGACGGAATAGATGAGGCCGATTCGCACTCACTAGTCATCAACTCTCTCCTGAGGATACGGTCGACTACTACTATCAAGGTCTTCCTGAGCAGCAGGCCCATGAAGGTACCCACCGCACCTAAGGGCGAAGGATCTCCGGTCACTGTGCGCTTCTTGTCAGAAACCGATACAGCGAGAGATATACGAGCATATGTGGCCACTTCCATACGCGACATCTTGACAGCTGCTGAGACTGTTCAACAAGACATCGTTGACAAAATCCTGGCAAAAGCTTCTGGATCGTTCCTCTGGGTTCGTCTTTGCTTGAAGTCCCTCCGCCAAAGCTGTCATACCCGAGATGACATTGATAAGGCCCTGACCGGACTACCAGCGGGAATGGTGGGTCTTTACGAACAAATGCTACACAAGCTCCTTTCGCAGCCTGAAAAGACCCAAAGCCTCGCACACATGCTACTATCATGGGTCAGTTGCAGCTGGCGCCCCTTGAGACTAGAGGAGTTACAGCTTGCCCTCGAACCTACATTCACCGGCTTTTTGAATCTTGAAGACACCGTCAATCAGATCTGTGCACACTTTGTCACCACTGACAATGGTAAAATAACTTTGATCCATGACACCGCCCGTCAGTTTCTTACAACCAATCAAGCTGGCAGAATTGCTTTCATTCAACCTCGCCAGGCCCATCTCCAGATTGCTGAACGTTGTCTCGGGTACCTGTCTCAAGATACCTGGCCTCGGACATTCCATGCAATATCAATAGCCGATGTTGATCTAAAAAGACTCATTCGGAGCAACCGCCTTCTCCTAGCCGAACAGGGCGCTCCTTTACTGGGTTATGCTACGTGCTATTGGGCATACCATGTTTCCAAATCCCCAACAGCAAGCACAGAAATCACAAACGCACTAAAAGTGTTCTTCTCGTCATACTGTCTCTCTTGGATTGAGGCTATCGCGCTATCCGCAAACCTACGCTACCTGACGAGATCAGCGAGGTATCTGAAAGCTTATGCAAAGAGGAAAAAGCACGCTAGAATGCACAAGAACTCCTCTCCGGTATTGGATAGCCTGACCAAATTGCCAGAAGATGATCCAAAGTGGCTGCAGTCATGGGCCATCGATCTCATCCGACTTGTTGGTAAATTTGGTTCTATTCTCCTAGCGAAACCACCAGCGATCTACCAAGATATCATACCTTTCTGTCCAAAAGGTTCGATGTTTACTCTTACCTATGGAGAGCACAAAGCGGGACAGCTCACAGTCACTGGACTTCCTTCCGATGGCTGGGACGATCGCCTAGCTCGTGTTAGTGTGGGCGACGATTACATTGCTTCGCAGGTACTGGCTACAGAATCATACTTCGTCACGTTGATCAGCACTATCGGTAGAGTCCTTGTTTGGCATACTGAAACATGTGAGAAAGCACGTCAGATCGAAGTAGGTGAATACGTGGCGGTGGTGAGACTCAACAATAGTGGGACGTTGTTGGCGACAGCGAGTTTCAGCCATTGCGCGGTATGGGAACTATCGTCTGGTCGGTTGATGTCGCGAATCGACAACTTAACGACGAAACGAATCATCGCCATATCTTTCGCCAACAACGACGCTCATCTAGTCATTGGGTCTGACGACTGCTCTATCACTGTATACGATCTTTCGACATCAAGCATAGTGCAGCATCATATTTTCGAATCGCCAAGTCAAGATTACAATGGTTGCCCCACAGCTATGGCAATCAACCCAGCCGCGGCCGCTGTCGCCATAGCCTGGCGTGGCAAAGTCCCTCTGATATGGCACTTTCAAGCTACTGCGCTCCAACCAGCGCGGATACGCCGGCTCCGCTCGTCTATAACATCACTTCTAGGCCCAGAAGATCTTCATTGGCAAGTCGACGGCGATTCACTCTTCATCCTTTGTCAAAATGCCGACTTGGTTGAATGGCGACTATTTGATGATCAGCAACTTGCCTATCCTCACCTGAAAGCCCGCGAGATTGCTATTAATTCCGAAGGCAGTCTTTTGCTCACGTCAGATCATAGTGGGACGATCAGCGTGTGGGCCTTTCCGCGCCTGTCTCTGATATACCAGCTTGGCAGCGTCAACGATTTCGTAAGGGACGTGGCGTTTAGCCCAGATGGTCAGCGGCTGTATGATGTGAGAGACTCGATATGTAACGTCTGGGAGCCCGACGTTCTCGTTCGCCCCGATGAGCATGACATGGAGGATGAGTCCAGCCTGGATGAACTGAGCTTAGTCTCTAGTGAGCCGACCGTGTCTCAGATCGACAATACCAAGGCCTTCGTATCAGCAGTTGCCAGTAGCGGATCTGATGCATATTACTGTTGCGGGAGGGACGATGGCTCAGTTATCATCCACGAAGTTGCAAATGGTACCCCCATCCGCAAAGTCTACACTCACTCATCGACCACATCCGTACTTTGTATGGAATGGTCACCATCCGGGCGATACATGGTATCCAGCGACGACTCTGCTCGCGTCATCGCAAAGCGATTAGAAACGAAGGCCAAGGACCAGTGGCGTGTCTACCCAGTGCTAGATGCGCGGGTGTCAGAGCCCGTACATCAATTTGTCTTTAGTCCAGATGAGCAATACCTGCTGATATCGACGTCGTCAACAGATCAGCTATACGACACACGATCGAAGCAGCGGCCCTGGTTCAAAGACTGGGGATCAAGACAGCGCCGCCGTTGGGTACAGGATCCTCTGGACATGGAGTCACTCATTTGGCTTGAGCCTCAATTACTGATAAGCTATCAATGGTCCACCATGACTATACAAGTCAGTGTTGCAATCGAGTCCGAGCCAGAACTGGAAACGGAAGAGTGTTCAGAGCCGCAGAAACATGATCATACCGAGAAGGTCGTCGTGTGGGCCGAAGCCATTCCTTCCAGTGGACAAATTCTGTACGGCACTCTTCCAGCGAGCCATTACCAGGGAGTCGTATCGCAACTCTCTCATTCTGGTCTCCATGTGGAAGCGATAAAAATGTCTCGCACAATCGAATCACGAATCGCATCCTTTAGACCAGAATGCACACCAGAACTCGCTCGACGCGCAAAAAGACTAGTAGGCATCACAAAAGGAAGAGTCGCATACCTAGACCACGACAATCAGCTTTGTACTTGGGATCTAGACAGCGGTATAGATGGCATGCAAAAGCACTTTTTCTTGCCGCGAGATTGGCTCGATACGAGCTCGTTAGAGACAGCTCTGATCAACGAAGAAGGGACGTTCTTCTGTCCAAAGGGAGGTTACGTGGCTGTTGTTCGCAATGGGTTGTCTTTGTAAGAGTGCATCTCAACTATCAGATGAATATCATCGCGATGAAAGTGTTTCATGCATGAAGCCTGTGGGCGGAGAGCAGCCGCGGCCTGAATCCAAGCGACTTGATCCATTTGATCCACTTTACTGCACGTGACCAACACGATTCCGAGATCGGAAGTGTTACTTCCGAAAGTAACGCACCTCGCGAACACATATCGCCTCGATGCTACACAGATCACATTCCTCCATCTAGACATACAATGTCAACCCCGACGCTACTAGAGGGGTTTCCCGGTGAAGCACCCTCTGCGCCTTCTACGAAACTCCGGTACGCAGACGTACGCGCCCACCCATTCCCGTGTTGACGCGACTTGGCTGAACCAACACGTCGATGTATCCAGGTCGCCGTAACCGCAACTGCCAAAGAGTTCGCCGGCATCTACCGGGGCAAACAATATCATGAACCAGACTTCGATGCCGTGCTCGACCGCGCATTAGCCGCCGGAGTAGAGAAAGTCATGCTGACAGGCATGTACGCATCCGACGCGTCTTTTAATCTCGGCATAGCGCGAAAACGACACGAGCAATGCAGGGTCACAATCGGTGTGCACCCATACCATGCCGCCGAAGCTGATGAGGGCGGAGAAGAATACTACAAGGGCCTGTGCGACAGCATCACGACGACCATGACTGAAGAGCCCCACCTCCTAGCCGCTTTCGGAGAGCTCGGCCTCGACTACGACAAGCTGGCCGAAGCCCCAAAAGACGTTCAGATACGCGTGTTCAAGCGACAGCTCGATATGATTGTGAGCGCGGGATGGAAACTACCCCTCTTCCTCCACTGTCGCGCCGCGTTCGAAGATTTCGTTGCTATACTCGAACCCTACATGGACCGGCTGCCTTTACGATCTGGTCTTGTCCACTCTTTCGTCGGTACCACAGCGCAGATGCAGAGTTTGATCGCTATGGGCCTACATATTAGTGTCAACAACTTCGCTTTCCGAGATCGCGATAGCTTGGATATGATCAGGCATGTGCCGTTGGATAAGCTGCAGATTGAAACGGATGCGCCGTGGGGCGATATCCAAGCGTCTAGTGAAGTAGCAAAGGCGTATTTGAAGGACGCGACGAAATGGTCTTGGGGGAGCAAGAAGAAGGATAAGTTTAGTATGGGCGATATGGTGAAGGAGAGGAATGAGAGTTGCAATGTAGAGAAGGTGGCGTTGGTTGTTGCGGGGATTAAGGATGTTGGTGTCGAGGAGGTTGCGGAAAGCGCGTGGAGGAATAGTGTGGATATGTTCTTTTCGCGTTAGTGCGGTAGATGATGTTTCTACGTCAAGATGGAAATATGGCATCACGTCTAGCCTTGGGGAGAATACCTCAGCAAATACGCGATGGAAGTAGCCTAAAAGAACAAACCCTCCAAATTCTCGCATGTGCTATGCTACCTCTACTTCGTCCCATTAGTACCATTCCCGTTCGTTGCCGACCCATTCGTCAGTCCTCCATTCGTCCTAATCCCATTCGACTTCGTCCCATTGACTGCATTCTTCTTCGCCCTCGGCACCTCAACAAGCACCTTGTACGTCTTCCCAGCCGTAACATTCTTAACCACACATCCCTCGACCTCCTCCCCATCAAGCACAACCTTGACATCCTCAACATCCCCCCTCTTAATCTGAACATTAAACACCGCACCCCTAAACTCCCTCCTCACCTTCATCTCCTCCCAATCACTCGGCATCTTCGGCGCGATCTTCAGCCCCTCCCTTATACCCCTCAACCCACACAGCCCTTCAATGAAACACCTATACACCCAACTCACAGTCCCGGTGTTGAACAACTGACTCGAGCGACCAGCCGTGCGGTCCAGATGCTTAATCCCATACCCACCACGGTAGTAGTTAGGAATGAAAATAGGGAGTTGGCCCCTCCGAACCAGATCCTCTTCATCAGGACCGGGGATCATAGCGCGGAGCGTAGCGTACGCGCGGTCCACTTCATCGATACCGTAAAGGGCCCATGCGTAAAAGGCAGCGGCGTGGTTGTACACGGAGCCGTTCTCGCCTTGGCCGGGATATTTCTGCGTCACGCGACCGACGTCTTCGCGCATGGCGGTGAAGGGCGGGCCGAACATGACGACGCCGTAGGGTGTTGTGAGCTGCTCGTCGACCTGGGGTAGGATCTTTGAGATTTGCTCTGAGGAGGCTGCGCCACCGAGGATGGACCATGCTTGTGGGTTCAGCCAGATACGACCTTCTTTGTCGTCTTTGATGCCGAAGGTTACGTTGTCGTCTGTGATGCCGCGGGCAAACCAGTCGCCGTCCCAGAGGTGCTCGTTAGCTGATTCGTTGACTCGTTCAGCGCCGGTGCGGTATTTCTTCGCGACGTCAGGTTTTTCGGCGTCTTCGCAGATTTGCGCCCACAGATTCACGGCGTAGGCGGTTGCGACGGTGAGCCAGCCTGATACACCGACGCCTTTGGGGCCGACCATGTTCATCGGGTCGCACCAGTCGCCCTGTGCGATGTAGGAGAGTCCGCGGTCGTCTCGCGCGTTTGAGGAGAGCAGCCAGTCCATGGCGCGGCTGAAGCGCTCGAAGACTGTGAATGTGTCGCCGTACATGCTGGTCACCTTTTCGTCCAGCAGCGCGTAGTCGCCGGTTTCGCTGAGGTATATTTCCAGGGCGATGGGTAGCCAGACGCAGTGGTCGGTGTGAGGGATTTGGTTGATGTACTTGAGCACCGCTCCCTTGGCTAGAAGAATACCATCTGGCATGGAGCCGTTCTTCTCCTGTTGGCCAACCGCTGTCGTGATGGCTTTGCGCGCTACTTCTGGCTTGATGAAACTCATGCCCATGTTATCTTGGAGGTAGTTTCGCGTTTGCGGATCGGTCGTAAGTCTGTTTACGTCACCGTGGTAGTACAATTGTCGGGGTAGCCAGTTGTTGACCAGGTTGTCGAGATCTTTGTCCGGAGTCTCCAGACGTACGCAACCGCTGCCACGCTGGATGTAGTCTTCGTAGTCTTTGGCGGCTTTCGCGAAGGCCATCTTGTTGAGGTATTTCTTGCGCATGTCGAGAATCTCGGCTTCGTCGTATGCAGGACCGAAAAGGAATCTGTACTCTTTGCTCTCGTTCTCGCCTAGATCGGCCCAGTATTGTACAACTGCGGTCGGGGTTTCGTAACGCGCGTCACTATTCGAAAGCTGGGACTCTTTCAGTGCCGATGGCGCTTGTAGGCCTCCTTCGCCTTCGAAAGCTTCTTGCTTCGCTTCCCATGAGACTGGTGTGGTTTCGCAGAGGAAATAGGTCTTGTCTTTCAGATACTTCGTCTTCGGGTAATCCTCTGCTTTTTGATACGGAGTCTTACAGCTCCCAACCACACCCCCAACGTTCGCATTCCACTCCGCCTCTTGGTTCATCCATGACATGTAGCCCAGTGGGAAGTAGGGGTAGATACTCAAGTTGCGCTTGCGACCTGAGATGTTGGTCACTTTGATGCTCCAGAGTTCAGCTACATCGTCGGTTGGCAGCAAAAAGGTCATCTCGACACGAATGCCGGACTTCTCCACAAGCCATTTGATGTCGCTCTTGCCTACATCGAAGGTGAAGCGATCCAACTTTGCCCTTACCGGCTCATACGGCGCCGAGAAGATCTCGCCGTTTTCCTCATCCTTGATGTATACGAATCGGCCAGGGTGGTGAGCATAGTAGTTCTGCTCCGGTTGCATAAAGGTCTTCGCTTCGAGGTTGGGCGCGTAGGCATACTTCGCGGGTTCGGGTTGCATGTATTGTGCAGTTGCAAAACCACGACATGTGACCTGAATCATCATACGTTGGTTCCAAAGGAATGCACCCGCTTTGGGCATCTCCGTGGGGCTTGTGAGCTCATAGCGCTCGCCATTTTGGGTAGGTTGTATCATGGTGGGAATGTGAACAAGGATAGTACCTGTGATCTCCGCGGGAAACTTTTATACCACGACGGGATGGTTGGTTATACAGGGACGTGACGGCCGACATGGCTTAGGAGGCGTAGCTTACTGTGTTTAGTGACACTGCACAAGTCAATTGGAACGCGGGACCAATGCGGAATCAAAACGCGTGACCAGGCACAAAGTCTTAGCGTTTCTGCTGATTTAGTCTACAGCGGGAGTGTCAAACTCGATGCTCGTGGACAAGATTGCTAGCAAGGCAAACGAAGGTCGTCGATACTCCTATGAGAAGAAGCAGCAAGAGCGCAAGCTTAGGATGACCTTGAAAACGAAAGTCCGACCAGCGTGCAAATCGTAAAAAGGACGACGAGGGATTTTCGCACGTCAGTCATCTGTTCCTCCATGGTTCATATAAGGTACACAGCACAATAAGCCGCACCGCGTGGGGCTAAGCGAATGGCGGTGTGGGGTTCAGGCTGAAAGGGTACAACGTAAGCGCGGAGACGGTTGCCCGGACCGCAACGCCTTTAGCCAGCCGTGAGGCAATACTGCGAGTCCCAACATGTCCAAAACTCAACGATCTTCGCATCGTCAATATGCGCACACGATCCGGATTGCGCAATCCGAGCAACCGATTAGTGTGGGACAGCGGCGAAGATAACGGAAAGTGTATGGTGGCGTATGCGCCGATGTGCCGAAAGCAGTGTGTCAGCTGCTCGCAAGATTGTGTGATCACGGGTGACAAGGAAGGGTATACCGTGCCGGCGCCGATATCCGTTGTATCCACAGCCACTGACATTAATTGTGACCAAGACTCGCTACCGGTTCCCCCATCCCGGGTATGCCCAGTGCTGCAGCCCTGCAGAAGGTGTTGGGTATCGTGAAGTGTCAATTTGTTCTTTGCTGTCATTGGTAGGTGTGAAATATTGGGTGATGCAGTCAGACTGGGGAAAAAAGCAAAGAGCGGGAAGGGTGGGGTGAATTACCATGACCAGCGATCAAATCACTATCCCAACACTGAACATGATACCAATCCTCCATGCCAGCCAGGACGATGCCAAAGCCGAGTCACCGTTTACAACTGGCGCAAATCTCTACTCGGCTTTCCACAACGCCGCACCATTTTCACCCTAATCCTCTTTAGCGGCTTCGTGCTGTAGAGCTGCTTTGCCCGATGTCTTCGTGATTTTGACATACTTTCCCGTCTCGGGGAATGCTTTCTTTGTAACAACTGGGACCGGGTCTTTGTCCCACCACGATGGGAGAGCTGGGACGCTTGTCCGCCAGAACCGCGCGGTTCCATCGCCGTCGACACTGAGGTATACATCCTGTTCTTCCTTGTCTCGAAACATGCCGCATAGACTGCCCGTAACATAGCCAGCCACCGTGCCAGCAGGTCGCCAGAACAGCTCTTTCGCATTGCTTTCCGTGTCGTAGATCAGGTTCGATCCTTCGCTCGACTCGATACCCAGCAATCGACCTTCGTTCATCCATAGAACAGCGTCGATCTCAGCCATACTCAGTCGATCTTCACCCTCGATCTTGAAATGCTGAAGTACCTTGCCATTAGGACCATCCAAGGGGTTCCAGACGTATGCTTCTTTACCAGCGCAAAGCGCAATCTCTGACCGCGTTGGATGCCAGTCAAAGTATCGGCACCAATGAGGAAATATCTCTGGCATGACTGCTACCTTTCGACCGTCTGAGACGTCGTGAACCTGCACCACTGAGCCGCTGTTAGTGCTCCAGACGATGAGCTTTGAGTCTGGCCTATAGGTTGGTAAGCAAAGTTAGCATATGTCTTACGTGTAGTATGTACCGGAGTAGTGCTTACGAGAATGCGCCGGCCCAACTCTGCCCACCTGATTTGTCTGTAGCCCAAATGAGAGCCCCAGTCAAAACGGAATACATACGTAGCGAGCCATCCCAAGACACCGTAGCAACACACTCCATGTTCGGGCTCATAGCGGACCACATGATGGCATCCGTGTGTCCAGTAAGGCGGTGCATCTCTTTGCCTGCTTCCACGTCATAGATAACGACGAGCGGCAAATCTTCTGCTGCGCGCATGCCGTGTTGAGTTGTTCGGGCGTTTGAATGGTACAGCATCAGTCTGCCGTCCTTGCTGAAGTATTTAGACCCAAAGTTGCCCAGTTCCGCGTTGTCAATGATGGTGTTGTGGCGCCTGCTATGGTCGGCGGCTACATGACTGAGCGCTTTCAAGAACTCTGTATGGAGCGAGGACGCATCGATGAACTCCCTGGTCCATTCGTGGTTTGCTGCAAGTTCGGGGGCGATTGCGTCGATAGCTTTCGTAGCCCAGACGGAGGGATCGATCGGCTCTTCTTTGTCCAGTGTGCGTCCGTTCTGGTCCAGGTCCCA